CTGTCACAGTATTTAAACACCCACATTTCTTGTTTATGGATTATTTTAATTAATCTCTGTATTAGCTGTCATGTGAATCATGTTTTGTGTTGAGAAAAGGAGTAGGTGGCTGATATACTTTCCAGCTCTAGGATATTTTTCTTATAACTTCAAATGTAATGGACTGCATCATTTTCTATCAATGTCTTTTTATCCCTCAAAACTTTGAATTTTTGTTTGCATTTCAAATAGCTATAATTTACTCTAGCTATGTTTATCATGAAACTGGTCTGCATTGAAACTTCTTCATCTTCATGCATTTGTATCCTAATGCCCCATTCCACTTGGCTTGTCTGCAATGATCAGTTGACCATGCTGTCTTTCTGGAGCTTGTTACAAAAGAAAAGACTGAGATCAACCTCATCTTTGTTCCTTGGTGACTATCTACATTTTTCTATTTAAGTTTGTGTAATACTTTTAATTACTTACTGAATCTACAATTTAAGCATGCATCTACTTCCTTATTTTCCTAGATCTTAAAAAATTGTTCTATGTCCTCTTGGATGTTTTAAGACTGTGAATCAGAAATTCTTAAAATTATATTTTTTCAGGAAATCTATTTCAGAGGAGGAATTTCAGTTCTTTAGGTGTGTCTTCCTTGCTGAATCATCATTCTAGGTATGTTCCCACTTTCATGGGATGGGTAGTTTCCCTACCTTATGCCTTTTGCAGCTTCATCTGTGGCTTTATGTAAGCAGTGACTCCTAGGAGTATGTTACTTCTGGATGGGATCCTTTGTCCTTTCTAGTCCTCATTGCCTAGTCCAGCTTCTAACAATTTAATTTTGGTTGATTTAAAAAATACAGGAGAGAGAAATTCAATGCCCTCTTTAAAAAAAATTACATTCTATATTCCTTTTTTCCTTTGCCTTGTATTTTAAGGCTAGGTGTTGAAAAAAATTTAAATTATTTTCTCATTAGCCAAGAAGACTAATGTTTCTTGAGAACTTGTTTGGAGGTTCTAGCAGAAATGCGCAGCTACTCAATATACCCTTGACTGAAGGACAGTCCTTCTCTATTAAAGATCATCTTTTTTTGACCTGAACGCACAGGTTCCAGAGGGATGTACATGGAGGAAGGGAACACCCACCAACCAGTTAGATGAGCCAAATTAACCCTGGTGATCAATAGGGTGACAGATGTCACAGCCAGATTTCCCTCACATCCTACTGTTACCTCTTAAGTGATGACCTAATCATGTATTGAGATTTATTATAAGATTTGGAGATGTATTTCCATTCTCAGTTAATCTTTATGTGTGCCTACTCACCAGATTTCTATCATGATAGGGTAGGACTGCCTTCCTTAAATATAAAACATCTTTGCTATACATATAACCTAAAATTAGAATTCCTTTTACCTTCTTGCCATCATTTTTCATTCATTTCTGTATTTGAGTATGCAGTACTTATTAGGAAACATTGTTTACCAGGCACTGTTTTGATGTTGGTTATACCAGATGGCTAGTATGTTCTTTCTCTCAAGAAATTCAGCATACTAATGGTGAAGTGGCCTGGTGCCTGTACAAACTGAAGCATGCTGGCAAAGAGTGTAGTTAGGCGGGCTCCTCCAGGAAGTAATGTTTCAGTTTGGTGTTAAAGACCAACAGCGATGTGACAAGTTGGAAGTTGTACTTTCCTTATTTTCATGACATCATGGCCTAATGATTAGGTAGTGTACTATATTGGAATGGATTGCTGGTGTAAGAAGAAAAGGAATACTTTTTTTCCTAAGAATGTAATCCTTTTTAAAATTATTGTCCATATTTCCTTAGGTTTCCTTGTCATGTATTTTAAGTGTAGTTTTTGAAAAAATACTAAATTCATTTTCTTATAGTATTTATTTTCTCGTATCTTATTTTCAAGATTGTCTGGCTCTTCATTTTAGCTCTATTTCACTTGAATCTTAAGGCTCCAACAAGGATTGACACTCAAATTCAATGAAAATATTCTGTCTATATCAGAGTCATTTTTAGTAAGAGGTGAGAGGCCATAAGATGGCAGAAGAGCAAGTTGGCCTTCTCTGTAGGTCTACATGGAAGTACATATGCCTGTGGGCTTACACAGGCACATATGCTTTGCACAGGTCCTAAAGCTGCACATACTTCTAGTACAGGTTTCACACAGGCTTTCTTTAAACTGAACTGCCAGTTCTCATCCTAAGTTTTCTGGACATTTATAAACTCTAAAGATCAAGTAACTAAAGTCTTGTTTTCTTTTAAACAAACCTTTATTTCTTCCTGGGCAGCATTTTCTTTACCCGCACCATGGTGCTATGCAGCTAGTTGGGGAAGGATTGTTCTTCATCCCCTCTACTTTCAAGACAGAACAGATTTAGTTGGTTAGTGTCTTAGAAGATTATTTTACATAAATTAGTATGTAATTCTCTTATTCTTCAACTGTCTTACTTTTATGTGGAATTGAAGTCATGGGTGAATCTACTGGGTTATGTTGCGATCATCTGGTAATAATTTTGAAAAAAAAGAGTTTCCCCACAAGTTAATGAAGACCCACAATTTTGAAGTGTATTATAGCATCTTGTATAAACTCCCAGCTTAAATTTCACATTATTCTTGGTCATTGTAGTAGGTTTGTGAAGAAAGAAAGAGCTGTGGATAATCAGTTAAAAGAATGACAGATTCCCTGATGTGCTGATCAGTAGTAATACCTAATTTCGATTTCGAGTGTGCTATAATGGATTACCATATAGATGCAGCTGAGCATTGAAGTATAAATAGAGCCACATGTTTTTCAGAAAAGTAATATTTATTCACACTGTGTGATTTTCTTGATTTTTTTATTTTATTCTCCAGTGAAACTACAAACAAGATGTCAATAGCTTATGTGGCATTCACAGCAGTGTAGCTTAGACTGTCAGTTGCAGTTGAAGAAATGCCAGATTATATTTGGCCTCAGTAAAGGTAGACTTCATCTGGGACTTCTGAGGGACAGGTTTATCATTTCGACATAGATGGTTGTGTTTGGCTTTATTTTTATTGACCTCATAGACTTTAATGTAAAAAATGGCCTTTGTAATATTTGCATACAAAAAGAAGTATTAGCATAGGTATTGCCTCAGCCTTCTGGACTTGTTGTATAAGAGTCTGTCCTTTTGGGAATATTCTTAGTAGCTCAGATATTAGGCATGCTCTTTCATATGCAAACCTTACTAAGTTTCTTTTGAGTGTCTTTAAAGTGCATTCCGTTTTTGTAAATCTGAAAAACTTTTATCCAGAAGTGTTGATAATGATGATAGTTTTGACCTCAGAATAAGATGGATGACTACCTTTGTGGCAGACTGACAGCATCTAAGTATCTGTACACAAATCATCTTGTTGTATTCTCTATGTTTCCTGATACTAAAAAGATGTTTTTCTTTGTTGCTTACTAACAAAGGAAAACCAGTATGTGCTTTGGAAAACTGAAAAGCGTGATTCAGTGTCAGGTTGTTCCTGACTAATTTAAAGGTGCTAGAAAACAGTGGGCATGTCAAAACATTCATCTAGTACCAAAATAAGATCTATTCTGAATCTTTAATTTGCTCAACATCTTCTTGGTAAGATGGAATTAGAAGGATCGCCTGATCCTGCAGTGTAGTGAGTGGCAGGCCTAATTGAAGTAGAATGTGTAAGAAAGTAGGACACGAGTCCTTGTTGTGCATTTGCTTAGGCAGATTAAAATGCAGGGTAGGAGCAGAAAAAGTAATAGGAAGGCCTCACTGGACCAGGCTTCCATCTACATAAGGTAGCAGCCATCTGATGAGAAAGGCCAGCAGAGAGCCTGTTGGCCCCTGAAGTGTGGTACACTTCTTTTAGTGCTTCAGCCTTTTATAATGAGAATAACCTAATTAATAGTGTAAAGATTACTGTGGCACACAAAAAAGATGTGCTGCCCAGATTTCCATTCAAGAAAGAATTTTCAGCCCAGCTGATGGCCTCTAGCTGTTAGCACCCTCAGCTGTCCAGCCCTGGTTATACTCTTTCTCACCATATCCCTGAGCCAGTGACTGATCTGGGCAGGAGTAGGAGGGCCTTCCACTTCTAGTTGCTCAGGACTCCTAATTTTTGCTCCAGAGCTCCTGCTCAGCTGTTTTGGCTCCTCTGCCCATCTTGCTTCTTCTCTGTTGCTTTCCAGATGCTGCTTCTTAGTCAACTGCAGTAGACTGTTGGTATCCACAGGTATATGTTCCAAATGACTGCCCATTGAGTTCAGTACTCAAAAATTACTCAGATTTACTTATACTGTATGTACTGTATGTTTGAGCATTCATCCATTACTTTAAACCACACGGAGTAGGCTACATTATAGTTACAAAAAGTACTGCTGTACACATTAATACTGCTTTCTAAAACTAGATCTTACTTCATGCTCTTTATCTTGAACACTGAAGGTACTTGATTCATTTTTCCCATAATGCCATCCAGCTTCTGCTAAAGACATGCCATCTTTCAACAAATGTGCAGTTTTCATTTTATCACTTAAATTAAGCACATTAAGTTTTACCTTGTTTGGAGGGTACCATTTGCTTTGTGGGAAGCAAAATTAAGGGCAGGAAAACACTCAGCAGATCATACAATGATTTAAACACAAGTGATGATATGTTGGGATTGACTGAGCTTTTTTGCATCAACTGAGTTGCACAGTACAACATGTACAGGAGTTTAAAATTTTTGTTTTTGAAATTTGTTTAATTATTTATTTTTTGTTGCACTTGGTCAAACTGCATGTAATAAATCTGCAAAGAAGGTGGGCTTGCTATATTGCACTACCTCCATCTCTGCACGTCTCCTAGAGAACTCCTCTGGCAAAGGTTAATATTAATTTTTCAACAAAGATACTAAACTGGGCTCCACAGTAAATTTTTCAGTGAGGAGAAAGTATGAGTTAAAAGAATCATAAAACTAGTACAAATAGAGACTCTCTGGAGTCAGGACACTGTCAGTCTCTTGTCCCACTTGTGCTTATGGCTCTAGAGTTTGGTGTGCAGCAGCCTAAATTCTGGAGTCATTGGGTTGCTTGTTCTATTCTCTTTGTTCGTGACATTTTCCTGTAGGCTGTAGCCAGCTCTGTGAGTTCTTGGTCTCCTGTTTGTGTTGTATTCTGTAGCTCAGGGGAATGTTCACAGTTACATTCTGTTGGTAGAAAAATGCTTATGTGGGTTCTTATTAAGACATTTTGTAGAGAACTTTTAAGTATCTTTTGACTCTCTTTTAATATAATGAAACTTAACACTTTTTGTATTTATCTCAGCTTTATATTTAGTTTTCTTTACTAAATTCAGAGTTAAATGTTATTAACTCAGTGGTATTTAAGGAAAGATGGGATACATTTTATGTTAACAGGAATATAAGACCATAGGAAAAAAGTCAAGATTAGCTACAGATTTCCTAATTTTATAAGTAAAAAGAATTTATATTCACTTACTGAGTATTCACTGAACACTGTTGCCAGGCAGAGATCCTCTAAGTGCTAGGATGTTTTAGGAAGCAAGACAGAAGTGTTACTCTCATGAATTTATTATGCTCTAGTGGAGAGTGTGTAGTCTTAAAGTGAGTTAACTAGCAAGTCCTTTCGACTAGGAGGACAGGACAGGTAATAGAGAAAGCACCAGAGGAGCAGGAAGGGTTCAGGCTCCACCAGACAGAACACTTAGAAGCCTCAGTGAGGAAGTAATGCTTCAAGTAAGACTTACACGTGGTTAAGGAGATGCCTTCTGTATAGGGCTATGGGTGGACATGTGGTCCAATCTGAGAGAAAAGTTCCTGCCATTTAAAGTTACTTATATTTGGTGGAAGTTTACCTCTTTTGACTTTTCCCATTAGAAGTTCCTGCAGCTTACTTTGTTGTCCACTGGAACAAATAAAGTAAATATATGTGTATGTTACTGACCTAGTTGGAAAATTACGACAAAGAAACAAAACAAACAAAAATCTCAGGCTGGCTCAAATGGAGGAAAGCAATTTATTAACTGCCTGGAAATGTACAGCAGATCTGAATACAAATTTTTGACCTCAGTTTTTGAAGTGTTAGACTATTAGGCTAGCTAAACCTAGAATGGAGATTTTCATTGTACAAAAGTGATTGTTTATCAACACCAACAGGTGTATTTTGACAAGTTTGGGGATTTTCTTCAGTTTTTTGAAAAAGTAGTTGCAACTAAAATGCAAGGAATTTTACTACTCAAGGATAACTTGTCAAAACCTGTCCTAGAGTGGGTGGAGGGAGTTATCTCATTGATTAGAATTTATTTTTGGTGGTATGAGACTACTTTTATTAGCCAAATACTCTTGTACACCATAAATTTGTTCTTTAACTACTAATGAAGACTTGCATAACAACAATCCTAAAACTTTTAGGCCATTAATTTTATGAGATTCTTGCCACCAATTTATTTTCTTCTTCTTCTGAATTACTTGTGATCTTATCCTCTTTGTAATTCTCTTTATTCCAAGCTGTGTACTTTGTTCAGATAGTGATGACTGTAATGGAAATGGGAAGAAGAAGGTGAAAAAAGAGGAAACCTGGGAAGTCTGGCACTGGCTATTATTTAATCAAGATAGAATGATCATTTTAGTTTTGTTTTCCCTTTTTTGCGGGGAGTAATTAAACTTGAGTGAATAATCTCTTAAAAACATTCAGGGGAGGAATCTTGCCTGGGGCAAATGAAAGAAACTATCCTATAGGAATGTAGCTATACTATAGTATTTATGTTATTTTATTTTTCTTTTCCGAAATATATATGTATAATGGGCCTATCCTGAAAATGTGTAACTTCATTAATTTTTTTTTATTTTAGAAAATACTGCAGTTTCTACCTGAACGAATTTTCTTTCGATGGCATTACCAGAGTATAGGTAAGAACAATTAAAACAATTTCTTTTAGTAACATGAATTTCTTCCAGTTGAATTTTCAGTAATATTTTATGTAACTAACACCATCAGGAGAGCTTATAGCAAGAAACAAGGGTATAATAATTAAAACTAAGACAAGTCCAACCTGGGATTTGGAGGAAAATACATCTTTTTCTTCTTCTAAAAGTGCAATTTTAAAGTGTAGGTCATAGATCAGCAGCATCAGCCTCCCCCAGGAGCTTGTTAGAGATGCAGTATCTTAGGCCCAGACCAGAGCTACTGAACATAATAGTTTGAGAAACACTGATCTAAAGTATTTTCTTAAATAATTTTACATTATTCCTTGCAAAAAAAGATCTTGTTTGTTAAGCCTGTATCATTGGCTTATAATTGCTATTTGAATACCGTAGGATGTGATAGCCAGAGGAAACTTGAAGGAAAGCAAGTTATCACAGCTGCCCTTTCTCTTCAGCTCTTAATGTCTAACAAAATATCATCATGATTAAATGTGCATAGCCCAGCTGAAGTGATTCTAAGGTACTGATTATAAATTCTGCCTTCTGTTTTAAAGAGTATCTGCTTCATTCCTTCTGCTGTACAAGAGTCTCATTTCCTACAATTTTTTCTTCTTTACTATATGGTCATATTGGAAGAGAGCATGAACTTTATAATGGAGTTCAATTTTATTTGGTTATTCAGTCATGCAAATTTTAATTGAGGGAGAGACATTGGTGCAGTGTTTTAGGGCAGAAACAAAATATCTCACTATCTTGGTTATTTTAAAAAAGTACCTTAAGTTTAAAATCTTTCAAATACTCAAAGAAAATTTTCCTTTAAATCTTGTAGAGTTGTCTGTAGCATTTCTGCTTCATTGAAGCTTTGAGCATGTGTATTTAAATTAATGTAGAAATAAAATATTTAAATACAAAGCATAATCTGTAATCTAAAGAGACATCATGGGGTTTTGTGACACTCTATGATATAACAGTAATGGACTGCAATGAGAAATAACTGCATGCAGTAATTTTTTTAATCTGTGCTAGGTATAATCCTTCTTTAATTTTGTTTCTGTCATTTATATGAAAACCATACTCATTTTCTTCAGATAGCACTATAGAATGTCTAAAGATTAGTGGGCTTCCCTCAGCATGAATAAACTTATTAGAACTATATGAAAACTAATTTGTATTTGTGTTGTGAAACTTGACCTATCTAGTAGGCAGTATGTGGTATTATTTTAATTCTGCCTAATACCACAAAAACTGATAAAAATTGCTGGCACAAGTAGCTTTTTACCAACTTTGGTAGTATCTTCTCAAAAGTAACCAGAAGCCTCAGACTTCTCATCTGAGATTTCAAAGTACTAGTTTTCTGGTTCATCATAGTTGCAGTTATTTATCTGCTATGTAGAACAAGCTGTCTCTATAAAGTAGTCAAGTTGAGTTATAATTCAGAATGCATTTGCTTATAAAATCATCCTTATTATTAATGCATAGGTACTTAACACTTGAGTCAAATAGGCTCTTTTTCAGATGAATACAGTTTTTGCATTATTAGTCAAATTGAGTAGACACCTCTTTTACATTGAAATTCAGCCTAGATATGCTTTGGAATCAGGTATTTTTAAATTTTAGAATGGCAATGTATACATTGTTAAACAACAAAGCAAACAATTTAGAACAACACATTATTAATGTCTGTGTATTTATGGGTCTGGATAGTAGTCTCTAACCAAGATAATTATTAGTTCTGGAGCTTAAGATATGAATATTCATCCTCAGTGGAATAACTAAGCTCAAAATAGACTTAGTCAGGTATTGCTAACATTTTTTAGGTCCTGTTCACTATTGACCTATACAAACCCTCAGTTTTCACAGCCTTTTGGATTTTGAAATTGTTGCTATTACACAGTTTTATATGCCTTCCTATGCCTCTTGCATTCTTTCTAGTTTATTTGGATTTATTAAAACTGTGATTGTTTGTTGCTCAATGTATTGACCGAGTTAACTATAGAAAGTAAGAAACTATAGGTAAACACCAGATATCCATGGTAAGGGATGTTCCTTGAATGTCTCCTCAGCATTGGCATCTTGACTTTGTATAAAACTTCCCAACCTAGAGCAGGGCCTTCTTTCTAGTTAGTGCCTAACAGTCTAAGTAGTTAATATTGCTTACCAAATAGGAAGACCACTGCTATACAACTTCTTAAGTCAATGTCATTGTACCTGGGAGAGGACAAAGCACTCTGAAATGTTGAGCTAGAATCTTGAAGTTCTAAGCCAGTGTAGCATGTTACCTGCTGCATACTAGAATTGATAATTCACTAAGCAGAAAATCTAAAGTAAAAATACCTCCCAAATTCTGCTAGTTTTGAAAGCTCTCAGTTCTATCTGAATAGCCATATTTTTATCCTGAGAAGGAAGGAAATAATTTGAAACATCAACTACCATAATGTTCAAATTCTGCTTCTTATCATGTCATCTTATTTTGTCTGTAACAAACACTTTCTGTTTTTCTTAAAATTGTTTTTATAGGGAAAAATAGTGTGTAGCTTCTCTTTGTTTTGGTTTTTAATGGCTAGTTCTTTTCTCACTGAATGCAGAATATTTGAATTCTGCATTCAATACGACCAGTATATAAGATCCTGCTTCAAGTGATGTTTGGAGAGCAAGAAGATCAGGAAAGTGGCTGATTCAACATTCATAGTTCTGTGATGTAGGCTATTATGACTGAGCTATTTGCAGATTTCTTTTACTGATTACAAATGCAAAAATTGTTTATCAAGCTTTCCTGAAATCATTTTTAGGCTGCTAAATCATAGTTGATAAAGTACTGCTTGACACCTTATCTCTGGGCAGTAATGAGAACTACAGGAAATGAGCTGACAAAGAATGTCATTGACAGCAAAACAGGGATATTTGATGTAAGAGCAGGCTGTAGTACTCCCTCATTTGCACATGTATCATCAATGTAGGACTAAAGTTATGTGGATGTTAGTTCACTTTGAAATGGTTTACTGCTTATGAGCGTCCAGAAGGTAGTTTTCCAGTCTGGTTCAATTTATAATGCTGTGCCAAAAATCAGTAAATATTTGTTGAGTGGGTGAGATGTTTTAAGCAAAATGCTTAAAAAAATAACCCTTCAGTTTAAAGGGTGAGGCTCAGTGGAAATTTATACATGTACAATACCTTATTATAGTGTTTTATTTGATTTTTTCTTTTAAAATATTTTTATTGGCATACATTAATAGTACAGAGGGGTTTCATTGTGGTAATGTCATAGATGTGTACAGTGTACCTCAAACAAGTTCACCCCCTCTATTACATTCTGCCCTATTTTTGAGCAGGGTTTGGTGGATTTTGTTATAACTGTCTATATCTATATCTATATATATCCATATATATAAATGAAGAAGAAATACATATACTTCAATCCTCTTTACCCTCGTACCCTTTCCTTTTTCGTCCCCACAGATTTCCCCTTACTGTTCTCCTATGTAGACTCAAGTCACATTAATAACAAAAATAATAATAATAAATCACCATTATCATCATTTTAGGTACAGATTCACATATGAGTGAAAACATGTGGGATATATGACTTTTTGAGCTTGGCTTATCTCGCTCAAAATGATGCTCTCCATTTCCACCCATTTTCCTCTAAATGACATAATTTCATTCTTTATAGCTGAATAATACTCAATCATGTATTTATACCACATATTCTTTATCCATTCATTGGTCTTGGGCACCTAGGCTCATTCCACAGCTTTGCTGTTGTGAATTGTGTTACTATAGATGTGGGCATGCAGGTTTCTGCCTTATATGCTGATCTGCATTCCTTCAGATATATGCCCATGATTAGTTTGCAGAGTAATAAGGTAAGCCTATTTTTAGTTTTTTAATGAACCTTCAAACTGATTTCTATAGTGGTTGTACTAGTTTACATTCTTAGCAACAGTGTATGAGCACTTCTTTCCTCCCCAAATACTCACCAGCATTTGTTGTTGTTTTCTTTTTTTTTTTTAAATTATTGTTGTACTGGGGTACATTGTGATATTTACCAAAGTTCTTATAATATATCATAGTTGAATTCATCCCCTTCATCATTTCTTTTATTTCCCATCCCCATTCCTAAAAAAGTTTCAACACATCTCATTTTACCATTTTTATACATGAATACATAATATGGGGTTTTTTGTACTGGGACTTGAACTCAGGCCTTCAACTTGAGCCACTCCACCAGCCCTGTTTTTGTGGAGTGATCCTCCTGATCTCTGCCTCCTGAGTAGTTAGGATTACAGGTGTGAGCCACTGTGCCCAGCTTCATAATATGGTTTTTATTTGTGAGTTGTTGTTAAATCTAGTGTACATACCTAGGTTTCTCTTACACATAGTATAGTAACTAAATGAATTTTGTTTTTGACTTTGCAAGAATGTCCGTGGCTGTGTGCCTAGTGGCCCTACATTGCCTGAGATATAATCACAACTCTAACTAGCTTCAGTTCTCAAAGTTCCTACTGCCTACTGGACTCTACTCTTTCAGGAGCCTGAGTCTGACAGGCTTTTCTGTTTCCATTGCAGTTAGGCCATACCATCTCCCACTCTTCCAAAAGGACAAGGTTTCCCTGTGTGCTTGGCACTAGGACTCCCTCAGAAGGGTCTCATAGCTGGGCTGAGCTAAACTCAGGTCCCTTTGTGGCTCTGGGACCTTCTTCCTCCTTCTTCATCCTTCTTCTTCTTCTTCCTCATCTTTTCCACAGTCACTTCTAGGCTACCTGTTCTGTTTTTTTCTCATTTTTAAAAACAGCTTTATTGGCATGCAATAAATTGAATATATATAAAATGCACATTTGATAAGTTTTGACATAGGTATGTATCTGTGAAATCATTACTGCCATCAAGATAATGAGCAACACCACCAAAAGTTTTCCCATTTTAACTTGATTGAGATAAAAAGTCCTCAGATCTAAGACTTCCAATATATTTCTGTTTTAAAAAGTAACTTTTTTTGAGGTTAGATGCTATTTTAGAGGCTTCATATGATACTAGGTGAGGTTCCCATACCCTGTCCCATATTGGGGGTATGAACGCATTTACATAATAATTACTTGTATGTTTCTAGCCCCCTAAGAAAAACAGTATAACACAGTGGGCAGCAGCTTCAAAGTTTAGCTGTTGACCATTGTGGTTCTGAATAAATCTTGATTCTGCTTCCTTGACTGCAATCATACTGCTCCATTAGAGGATTTATTGCTATACCAACTCCCATAAATGTGCTCCTTATTGCTAGGAGAGAACAATGCCCTTCTGTATATTTGTAAAATGTTCTTATAAAAATGTTTTGTGGGCAGTAGTTTTACATTATTTTTATCTTTAAAGATTTTTTAAAAATCATTTTATTTATGACAGATATTTGCATATAATCGTCTGAAGACATTTGGGTTATCTTAATATCAATCATTTTGACTTTTTATAAAGAATTTTGAAGAGGTAGATACTCAGAATACTTTTACCTTAAAAATGTCTTTCCTTTTGTGTCATTTGCTTTACTTTGATTCTGAAGGTCAGCCTTCTTTTTATTAAAAAAAAAAAACTATTAACTTTTGTCATAGGTACATTTTTTCTTTCTAAAACTGATCTTTTAAAAATAGATCTTACATATTTATTCATATACTTAAAAAATATTCATTCATATACTCCATATCTAATTTATTGTCTTAAACTTTCAGGTTCAACTTTAAAGAAGCTTCTACACACTGGAAATTCTATGAAGGTATTTATTTTAGATGAAAGTGTAATGGCATTTGTAGTTATTTTTTTGATGGCACAGGAATCAAATTTGTTAATGTCTCAAAGTAGCAAAGAGCATTTTGAAAAAAAAAATCTTCACAATCTACTTGGTTTAGTTTTTATTTTTAATGTAGAAATTCTATGATAAATATCGTTACAAAGGGTTTTGTTCTGACACGACTTGTGAGAGACCTTTTAAATAGTGTTAAGAAGAAGTGACTTGGCTTTAGAGTTTGGAGTTCTGAGTTTCAGTTGTGCTTCTGCTGGGTACAGCAAGGGAGTGACTGCTCCAGTTTTATCATCAGAAAAAGGAAAGGAACTTTTAAGCTTCAGAGCTAACATGCCTGATTCTATCCATGTCAGCAATCTGGTTGTTAAAACGATAGTTGTCTCTGAATTAATTTTGCTAATTTTAAGAACTATTATGGGGAAAAAGAGTAGCAGAGCCTAACTCTTGAATATTTATTTGAAACAGATCTTACAATTTAGGTTAAAACTGGCTTGTTTTTAAATGAACATACCTTTTGTAATGACATAGACCATCTGATGCTGGGATAAGATGACCCTAAAACATGAGTGGCAGAACAGAGGCAGCCTGTGATTAATATTTTATGGGAGATAATTCACTTGTAGATAATTAAGTTAGTACATTTTTGTTTTTTATACCAGTTTAAACTACCATAGTCACTTAAAACTTAATGTGTTAACTATCTCTTACATGTTGGAAAAAAAGCTATTCCTAGCCTCACTGTAGATTCCATATTTGTTCTTATTTTTAAAAGAATCATTTTAGAGTTAAAACTATCAAGCTGTTATTATTGTTAGTCTTATTGATATCTAGTTAACATAAAAATTGGGGACATAATAGAATTTCATAGAAACTTTCCTATTGTTAAATACTATTTGATTAAATATAGAGAGAGCTTCATAATTTTTGTCTACTGACTGAATATTAATGTAGTCAATGTTACCACTCATTTATCTGTTAGAGAGGAGGATAGGCAGGCAATGAGATTTGTGAAAAGTGGTGGAATGCGGGGGGATGTCTGGATGTGTGCTGTGAATCCACTCATTTAATGGGTAGCACTGTCACCAGCTAGGGTGTCTGTCTGGTGTATTTTGACTTCTATTGGAGTCAGCACACACACACACACACACACACACACACTCTCTCTCTCTCTCTCTCTCTCTTTCTCTTTTTTTTATATATATATGTATTCTTTTTATATATGTGTATATGTTTAATGTATATATATATAATTATATATATTATATATGACATATAATGCATATATTCATTATATATAGAAAATGTATGCTTGTATGTAAGTGTATTTCCTCTTCTCTGCCTTTTAGTTTTCCTGCACAGTCTCATGTTTGGCTTGCAACACTTGCTTTGGAGGAATCAGTACCACCTTCAGTTAATTGAAAAGCAACCAGGCAGCCCCTCAGCTGCCTGCATTTGGAGCTCACTACATCTTTCAGCTGCATCTGATACATTTTTCATTTTCATTTGCTTACTTAGCTTCTTTTATTGACATCATCTTTCAACCATTTAGGAATACAGAAAAGGTGTGTTTTTTAATTCAAGGGCTAGAATGAAGTTGGAAGTAAATGTTGGGGAAGAAAAAGGAAACATCTGCTTATTTTGATGTTTTCCATCAGGTGATGCCAATCACTCAGAGCCCAGTAAAGATGTGGGAAAGACTTTAGAGTATGGACATAAGGCAGGGAAGCTAGAGAGCTGTACTGTTTCATTGAGCCAGGTCTTCAGAGTCTCATTTAGCTGTAAGTATTCTGATTTTCAAGAGCATTATAAGCAGGTACATATTTATCATGACATGACAAAAATTCTCTCTAAAGCATAATACAAATTTGGAGGAAGATTATTTTTAGCATTGTTTTCATGGATACTTGAGCATTAATACTATGGACACTGTTACCTTACAGAATGAAATACCATTGCTAGGAAATACAGTGCTCATTGGGAGCCAGGCATTGCTTTATGTGCCTTACATATGTTAACTCACTTAATCCTTGTGATAGTTCTTGGTGGTAAAAAAACTGCATCACCCTGTTTTATAGATGAGGAGACTAAGTGGCTTTCATTGGTCATACCTAGAAAGTAGCAGAAACTGAATTTGAACCCAGGCCCTCGGGCTCCAGAACCCAGGCTTTTAACCTTTGTGCTGTATTGTAGTATTCTTGCTTACTTGTCACTAAATGAAGAACTTGCTGTAGGACTTTAATGGTATGTTCTTTTCTTTTTTTTCTTTCTTCCTCCTTCTCTCCCTCCTTCTCTTTCTCTCTCTCTTATTCCTTTCAGCCCTCCTTTTTCGAGACAGGGTCTTGCTATGTAGCCCAGGCTGGCCTGAACTCTTGATCCTACTATGTCAGCCTCTGGATCGCTGGGATTACAGGCATGCACCAACAAGCTTTGCTCTCTAATTTTTCTTTCTTAAGATGGATGCTATATGACAATGCTTTTCTACATATACATGTGTTTCATTTTCATTGCTTTTAATTTTACTTTTAGATAAGATGTGAAGGAATCAGGCTGTTTCTTTTGTGGCTTCAAGCACTTCAGACAAACTGTGCAGAAGAGCAGGTGCTGATTTTTGCTTGCCTTGTGCCTGGTTTCCCAGCGGTCTTGTCATCCAGGGGGCCCTGCACATTGGAGACACTCATCAATCCAAGCCCTAGTGTAGTTGATGGTAAGTGATGTTTGTTAGCAGATCTGGCATGCTGAAATTACTCCTGAATGTACATTGAGAAATTCCTTAGTTTTTCATTTTAATGAATAGAAATCCTGATGGGGTCTGAAGAGGAATTACTTCCTATAACTCAGACTGTTCTCTTTCAAACATTAGAATGACAAACTTGGGGCCTATTTTCTATGCAATGATAAGAGAAATTTACTGAAGTGGTGGAAATAGGAATGGAAGGGAGGGGACAGATGTTGACAATAGCAGGAAGTAGAGACACATGGTATGTCTGGAGTGTTTTTTGTGTCTGCTAATGATATTTAAAATCTGTCTTCCAAAAACTACTGACTGTTGTTCTCATCACTATTGTTTCATAAGTGGGCATTCATCTCTTGTTGCCAGCTATGTATTTTCATGCAGCATTTATAGAAGGTCACTTGTGACATCGCTGGTCCATTTGTATCCTATGAGTTTTCAAGAAACTTCCCTGTTAGGGTCATTGGTTTATGACTGCATATCACTTCTTTGCCCAGTGACTGGCATTTGATCATAAATTGACCAAAGCAGATCTTGAAAGGGAAAGAATGGGTCCATTCTTTGGTGGGAGAGGTGGGTTCATGGCCATCTGTACTATATTTCGAGCCCTTGATGCACACAAGTTTAGAATTCAGTATGCAGTTCCAATGGCTGGATAGATGTATTTTTTTTAAATTTTATTTATTTATTATTCATATGTGCATACCGTGCTTGGGTCATTTTTCCCCCTCCCTTACCACCCATCCCACCCCCTCCCTCTCCCCCCATCCCCTCGATACCCGGCAGAAATTATTTTGCCCTTATCTCTAATTTTGTTGAAGAGAGAGTATAAGCAATAATGGAAAGGAACAAGGGTTTTTGCTAGTTGAGATAAGGATAGCTATACAGGGAGTTGACTCACATTAATTTCCTGTACATGTGTGTTACCTTCTAGGTTAATTCTTCTTGTATTTTAATAAAGATAATTTTTTTAAAAACCTTGAATCCTATTTACAATTAAACTTTGGTAAAAGAGCTCTCATTGTTTCCTACCCTGCAGCAAAGATATATCCAGAAGAAATAACTCCACTCCTACCAGCCATATCAGGGGAGAAGATCACTGAGGACCAAACCTGCTTTTTTCTTCAAATACTGCTGAAGTATATGGTTATTCAGGTCAGAAGGAAAATCATAGCCATTTCAGTTATGGGCTTATTCTCAGTAGAAAGGAAAACAAATGTTGCTTCTTTTTTTTCTGTGGGTTCATCCTTTTTAAAAAAAATTTTCTTTGGGGTGATTTTATGTGATATTTCACTAAACAGGGTATGTACCATTGTTAGGTCACTTCCACAGGACCAAGCATAAGTGCCACTTTGTGAGAATGTGTTTAAACTATTTTTCTTTGTTTATCCTGTTCCTGGACGAGGAGGTAGACCCAGAAGGTGAGTGGAGGGCCAGAAGTAGGCAGGCCAGACAGAGAGATGGCATGCATTCCTTTTTCTTAGATTTACCACTGGAATATGGAACCGAAATCAGTAATTTATCATTTTCACAGCTAATTTAATAGCCTACTTGTCACTTATTTTATATTTCTGAATATCAATATGGTTAGAATAAAATCTACTGAATCTTTTCTCAGTTAACACTTTTCTTATCCCTGTGCTGCTTCTAGGTGTAGTCCAGTATGTGACTTTCCCTTCACAGCTGAGTTTGTTGAAATCATCATCTTTGCCACTTCTGTTTCCTCCTAACATTTCTTTGACACTGACTGTTCCTCACCTTCTGCCCTGTCACTGCTGAAATGCCACGTTCCAGACCATGGTGGGGTTCAGGGGTCCATGTGGAGAGAGAATACTCTTCTGTTTTTGCTCTGCTTATCCTTTGAGATGATTTGAGTGATTACCCCTCCTTCATGAGATTCTCTCCTCTCATGATGTTATCTTATGGCTTTTCTCCTTTTTTTCTCTGCTTCTTTCCAGTTTTCTTTAAGGAACTGTGTTTTTCTCTACTGCCCCCAAAGTTCAGTTCTTGGCTGCCTTTTCTGACTACTCAATCTTGCTGGGCAATCCTGACTTCTACCCCCACTCCCACGTCATTTAGCCAGCACCAGAAACAAAAGGACTTCAGATTTCTGATAGTCTGATCAAAGTATTAATGTCTTCTTCTGGAAGCTTCACGTTTGGCTTATGCTTGTTCTACATGCATCTAAAATGCACCTGTTACCTGTTCAGAAGTGGTTGAACATTCCATTAGTCCTGGGAATTCAGCACAGAATACTTAGAACTTGGATGTGTTGAGGGCCTACGTTCTCATAATAGATGTGTCACTAATGAATTTTGTGACCTGAATTAAGTTAAAAAATCTCCAGGACCTCCATTAGAAGGGGATAGCATTGAGGGTAGAGATTTGTATGCAGACTGTGAGCCCCCTAATTGTGTGTTGGGCTTAATTTTCATGTTTCTACATCTACCTTCCTTTCTGTTTGTTGGGGTGAATCCTCAGAGCAGAGCTTCTGACAAGTTATGGATGCTGAGCTCCTCTGCCTCAGGGGCAGCCAAAGCTCTTTGTCTCTTTATCTCAGGTGCTGCATAGCTGTTATCATTTTCTAAGTGGACTAGTCATGAAGGAAATTGGGAAGCTATGTTTTGGTCTGACAAATTTAAGATCCACTGTTAGGTCCTCTATTAGGGCCCTCTGCTCCATCTTTCTCTCGATAATATGGGGGTGACTATACCTCTGTAACAGGCTGTCCACTGGGCTCCTGAGGGGTGCTGCCCAGCTTGAGCTGTTTCGGATTGCTTACACTATGCACAAACTGCTGGTTTTTTGAGGGGGAGAATATTCTTCACTACTACAAAAGCTTTAAACTTAATCTATAGCTGGACTGATAGACCTGGTTTATTTTAGCCTGCAAGTACATTTTAATAAGGAGAATGCAGTTTCCAAGATTCCATACCTTTTATCTTTTGATACTGACTTTGTATTTAGATAACATTGGATGAAATCACTGAGAGGAATTGTGTCTTTAATTCCTACTTATTATAAATGGCCATTTTTGAGGTTAGGAAAAAAAGTACTTGATTACTTCTGACTAGTTCTTTTAAAGGCACAAGAAATATGTAATCATTTTAAAGAACATGTGGAAGATATGAGCTTAATATAGTAGAGCAAGTTTAAAATATATGATACCATCTTTTTAAAAAAAAATCATGTCTGTCACTTTTGAGCTGTTAGGATATGATTTCATTGCATGATTGTCAGTATTATTTATCATTTAAAAAAATTTAGGATAGGAATTTGACTCTAAATTTCATTTTAGTATATGTTAATTTGAAATGTAAAATATGTGTATCTTTTTATTCCCCACATACTATTCAAAGGCTGCAAGCTTGGAGTGGAAGAATAAGGAAAATCAAGATACTGGTTTTAAATTTCTTTTTACATTATTTCGAAAGTATTATCTTCCTCATTTATTTCCATCATTTACTAAGTTAACAAATGTCTACAAACCTGTACTTGGTAAGTATTGTTTGAGCTGTGTAGAGGCAACACGCACAGGTGTATAGTTGTTCTCAGTTTGATTCCTTGGTTTTTTTTAAAGTAAAATAGTCACATTACTCTTGTATTGAATAGTGACTTTATTGTAAAAGGTTTAAAGTTTCCTAATAAGTGGTTTTAATTATGTGAACCCACTAAGATGTATTTTACCTTACCATGGTTTTTATATTAGAAGTAATTTAAAATGTATCATAATATTTTTGATGTAATTATATTTACAGTCTTTTAATGAAAAAAGGTGTTTTATGTTTCCCAAAGTCTTTTCTTAGGGGAGGTGGGGTATGGTGACCCCCAGATCTTGCTCAGTGATGAGGCAGGCAAGCCCAGGGCCCACAGTTTGTCCTTTCATGCTGGATCTTTCATCCAGCAGGCACTACTGACAGTTACTTATGGAGGGCAGCTGTTTGGGTGACTGGGCAACCTAGAGATAGTAAGCCCCAGAGAGCTAGGAAACATAAGAATTTATAATTTAGCTCCTAAAAGTTTTCCTCTGTAAGAAATGAGAACTGGGTACAGTGGCTCACATCTGTAATCCCAGCTAATTAGAAAGTGGAGATAGGAGGATTGTGGGGCCAGAGGCCAGCCCTGGGCAAAAGTGATGCCTATCTGAAAAATAAATAAATGGCTTAGGTGGTAGAGTGCCTATTTTTAGTAAGCATAAGGCCCTGAGTTGAAATCTCAGTAAAGAAATGAGTAGCCAGGTATGGTGGCATATGTCCTTAATCCCAGCACACAGGAGGCTGAAGCAGGAAGATCATGAGTTCAAGGCCAGCCTGAGTTGCATAGTGACACCCTTTCTCACAAACAAAACAAGAACGATAAAAGAAATGAGGTGTCACAGGTCAGAAGCATACCTTTGAGTGCTGAAAGTGGGGAACAAATCTTCTCCTTGTTATTTAAAACAGATAAAATTTATTCAAATGAATAGTCAATAACAGTTTTAAAAGGAAAAAAGTTATAAGGGACATTATCCATCTGGGCAACATGGCCAAATGACTGAGTTGTCTTTGCTTCATGTGTATATGAGTGCACACACACACACACACACACACACACACACACAGTAAGGAGAGAGTAGCTGAAAGTTGGTGTTTTTTTGAAAGTTATATAAGTACTGACTTTTAGAGGAAGTAGGACATGTATTTTTGTTAGCTACACATATACATACGAACATTTTTTCAAAAAACTTTTCTGATTTTATATGTAATCTGTATTCATTGTAAAAAAAATTACACAGTTTAGTATTTTTAGGTTAAAAGTTACTTACTGAGAATTGTGTTGTTTCATGCAGGTACTCCAGGTATTTAAAAATTAGTTAAGCTAGCAAGTCGGACTTACGGCAAGTAGTATATTAAATCTAGTACAATATAATTTTCATATTTGATGAAATTTAAAGAATGAGAAGTGGGACCTCTTTGGTAATTCTTTGAAAAAGATAGCATATGATATCTTAAAGATGAACTGTGGTTTTCTGAATTTGACTATAAAGTAGATTATGTTGATTCTGTTTCCTTGAATTCATCCAAAGGGAAAAAGATATAAAACTAAAGTTCAAAATGGAGGACAAGAACATAAATCAGGTCCTATCTAGGGGTTGGTACCAGTGGGAATGGGGGAAGGATATAAGGAAAGCATGTCGGAGGGTGAATAAATATTATGTACTCGTGTATGAAAATGGAAAAAATGAGACCTGTTGAAACTATTCTAAGAATGAGGGAAGAAGGGAATAAAGGAGAATGATAGAGGAGGTAAATTTAACTAAGATATATTGTAAGCACTTTTATAAATGTCACAATGTACCCAGCACAACAATAATAAAAACATAGAAAGCTACAGTAATTAAAAAAAAAAGCCCTACAGTTCAGTGGATTTAATCAGTGTGGTATTAGATATGAAAATACCTAAAGTGATTTTTTAGAAATACATGCTTTTATATTTGTTCCAGTCATAAAATAAGATTAAATTAGGTATAATGTATATAAAGAGATCTTCACTACTAAAGTCACAGGTATTTCTCAACTTTGTTAAAAAGAGCTATTAGCTTACTTTTTCCATATACCATAGTTGTGTGTAAACACTAACAATAATAGCCACCTTTTTGTGGTCAGATTGTGAAACAGAAACATGAATACCAAATGATGCTATTTTTCATCATTTGTGGGTCTTCACTCTTAGTTTCTGTTTAGACAACCAAATATATGTTTATTTAACCAAAAACTGAAACATTTAAAGAGATTACATAATACTAAGATTCACTAACCTAATTAATATATTCTTTTTTCTACTAGACATCCCACACTTGAGACCAAAGCCAGTGTACATCACTACAACTCGAGATAATGAAACCATTTACAGTACAAAAATTCCCTACATGGCAGCTCGTGTTGTTTTTATTAAGTGGATTGTAACTTTCTTTTTGGAAAAAAAGTATCTAGCCACAACACAAAACACTAAAAATGGAGTTGATGTGTTGCCTAAAATCATCCAGGTATGCCATTCATCATTTTTTAAATCTCTTAATCTTGAATAATAGAACACACTAACACATAACCAGGGAAACTGAGTTATGGTTCTTGTTACGTTTTCTTGTGAAGGGCTTACGCTCTCTGCAGTGCTGA